TACCCACCTACCAAATTTAAAATTAAAAGCTTCTTAGTTATGCTGTTCACAAACAAACAAATGCTACTGAAAACAAATTAACCTTTTGGCGAAGGTAAATAATTACTAAATATGAAATATGATTCTTTTCCATGGAACAATTAGGATCTGCTGAGTGCTGTAAAGAACATTGCGGCATTTCTGGAGGTGGATCTGGATGAATCGACCGTAAAAGTCATCGCAGAGGCCAGCACTTTTAACAACATGAAGGCAGACCTGGACGGTTCCAACATGGCTGAGAGACAGGCGATTGCCAGGAAAGGTACATCTCATTTCATTTAGTGGCCATTAGGACACACCAATTTAATATCTTGGTTAACGGATTCGCCCGCTTCATTTTTTTCTGATTTGTAAATAAAGATAAAAATTCAGAATGAACTGCAGACATATTTTGCCCTGAACAGTTGGAAACAGTCCTTTTCATCCTAGTTGTTACAGTAACTGTTATTCCATCTTTCAATGCAATGGTATCATTAAAAGTTCAAAATTCATTGTTTAAATTTTGAACCAGCCTGGTGTGTTGACGTCATGGCTCCTATCGTACCATTTTGGGCCATAATAGGATGCCTAGGCCTGTTTTTATTTTTTTTTTTCGCCCGCCCGCTCCATTATTTTTCTAGAAAATTCTGTTAACCAAGAAATTAAATTGGTTCTAGCTACATTTGTATTTATGGGACCCAAAAAATAAAGAGATGCATCATGTGTTTTTGTGCTATTTCAAATGCTTTCAGATATTGAAAATGAGCACCATTTTATAATGGATTGTAGTCATTGTACAACACTATACAATGATAAGCGCTTATTGCTGTTCACCTTTCTTTCCGCTTGTTCAATTGATTTCAATACGTTAGATCCTATAGATAAATGAAACTACATTCTCAGGGGAGATAACCAATATAGTGTTCAAATACTAGGAAATAGTAGGAAAATACATTAAAGAATGTTTTGATCTTAGAGAACACATGTTAGAGAAAAAGTCTCTGTACTTTTTTGTTGTGTCAATAAAGAATCTCTATCAAATGATTACAAAAAGAAATTGCTAAGAAATGACCAGACAGATTAGTGGTGCTTGAACCACACTGTTACCTGTACCCTGAACAATCATTATTATTGACCAACTACATGACTACAAAATGTACATTGTGTCTTAACAGGTATTGTTGGAGACTGGAAGAACATGTTTTCACCGGAGCAGAGTCAAGCCTTTGATGCCTGGTATGAGAGGAAACTTGGTGGGACGGGCATCAGCTTTGACTTTGAATAGACTATGAAATATATATCTCACTGATTTTCTAAACATTAAAAAAAAATGAGAAGCACTTTGAAGCACGAGCACTTTTAAGTAATTAGAATAACTCAATGTCTCTCTTATAAAGCTGCATTCCTATGTCCTGCATTCATATATCCTTGTCAATTTATCATAACCTGTAACCAAACAATATTAAAGCCTTGTCCTGCTGAGCGCAACATATGTTGTTTTGCACATACAGTACCATCTATGTAGCACCCTGTATAGGTACGATTTGGGGGTATTTCTCGTGCAACGCATCACACCGCAGCGAAACACAACGAATGCGGAAGTAACTATGCCACTGCAGGGCAAAAAAATTGGGGGTCTATGATCTAATTAAGACAATCGTCATGAAATTATTGAAAAATATTGTGCCAGGAATGTCAGCAGGACAAGGGTTAATTTATTTATTCAGTATGTGCTAATAGTATCTCTTATGACATGGACACCAAAATCCTGTTACAGTAATACATTTGGGATACATGTACATTACTTTACATGTCACTTTTTCTTCACGATAGTGAAATCTTACGGTCTAGGGAAAATGGGTGTGTTCACAGAACTTTATCCTATACAAAAGTGTAGTTTATGTTGGTAGGAGATGGGGAGGGGGAAGAAAGACAAATGATTTGATAATGGCATGGAGGTAGATGCATGATAATGGTAATGATAAGTTCAAAGTACAAAAGGGACTGTGAAAATCATAATTATTATTACCATGAAAAAGTCAATAAACACAGTAGATGTCATTCAACCTTCTTCTGTTGGCAGTGTTAATGAATGAATGGAATGTCTTTGTAAATATATTCTGTGCACTTCACTTGAATGCTCAGTTTCTGTGGATGTTTTGTACAATGCATGCCTGACAAATACAAATGTAACATTAACAACATATATAATAATTAATAGAAGAATCATCTTAACAAAGTAGCCCCTACATATAATCCTTGTATTATATAGATATTACTAACATGTCATCCATATGTCTTGTCTTTTGCACACACAGAATCAGTTACTCTCATCTGCCAAATAAACATACGGGCACGTTTATTTTTTTGGGCCCAAACATCCACCCAGTACGTTCTTATTTTGCACAGTACGTTTATTAATTTTTTGAAAACCAGTAATTTTTTTCAACTTCGTGTGAAAAAAATTGACAAATCATCGACGTGAAGACGTTTATAAACGCATATTGTAGCGAGAAACTTGTCATTTTCGGGCTGGTTTTTGCAATCACTGCGTGCATAAATTCGTCTGAATGTTCTATTGTCATGGGTGGTGCTTATCAAAATACAAAATATTAAATGCTCTTTTTTTTTGTCTATTTAAATTCCTAATTGCAAATAACAGTTAAAGATTTGTGCATATATCAGTAAGGGTGCATTTTAGACACAGGTTACCCGTCAATTTTGGTAATTTTCCGGGGGGTACGTTTATTCCGGGGGTATGTTTATTTGATTTTGAAGATTTGTCCGGGGGGTACGTTCATTCCGGGGGGTATGTTTATTCGGCAGATGAGAGTATGTGGATTTTATTTGCTGCATTGACTGCAGTGGTCGAAATACTTTTTTTCAGTGTTCTGCAATATTGCAGAAGAGCCAAAATTTTGTTCTGCAATTTGGAAATACTTTCTGCAAATACACAAGCCTCTAATCTTGCAAGTTTATAAGCATGAACTATGGATTGATATGCAAATTAGTGAAGACAAATATTTGGAAGTCCAAAAGGAAACAAAAGATAAACAAGTCAAGACAAGGTTGATGTAAATTAGTGAAGAAGCTCCTCTTGTTTCAGAACAGGAGCTTAAGTGTTGTCTGTCCTTGGGGCCAAGAGCACCAAATCCCAAGTGCCAATTTTTCCTGCTGCAAAATTGCAGATTGTATAAATTTTTCTTCTGCAATCTTGAAAATCTATCTGCAGATTGCAGACTGCAGACAGGTAATTCGAACACTGGACTGTTATCACTGTTAACAGTTTTTAGTGTGAACAATACTTCCTTGGCATGAGAGTGAGTGGCTCACCTGTAGATAGGCCCCATCTGAATACAATGGATGAGCCAGCTGACCCACCCACCCATGTTGTCATCAGCCATAAACCACCTGGTGCTGAACACCTGCATCACCAGCGAGGGTACAATGATGAAGGTCAGGGTCAGAGACCCCCACTCCACACGATTGCCTGCTCGAAAGTACTGGACTGAAACCATGGCATCTGAAAGTGGGCATATGACTGGTTTATATAAGTTCAACAGAAATCTACATCAACAGTTCAAAGTCTGAGCTCTCATTCAAAATCATATTACTTTTTTTTACAGGCCCAGTGAGTCAAACTGGTTCAAAATACTTTTGAGGTTCCCACCGTGATATTCTAACATGCTAATCACAAATAAACCTGCTTTTCACACTTTCCCATTCATGCTGGTTTCACACAAATCGGAATCAGACTGACTTTCACAGTTCATTACTGATCACAATAAGGGGTCATTACTGTTTTCACACTTTGTCACTCTGTGGTCACAGTACAAGCCACTTGACATAATGATGATAAAAAGGTCGAAAGCGGTCGGCAGGCTGGTTCCACTCCCGCTCTAGTAATAGCTTCTATTCCGTTGGCTAACTGAGAACTCGATGATTATATTTAATTTCCGAACAGCATATAAGCCACGATCCGTAATATCTAACAGAGAATTATTTACTTGGCATGATGCTTGTAAACCACACAATTTACTCTCTGATCACGAGCTTACTTTTTCACCGGAGTAGACGAAGAAAAAAAGGTAAACACACCCGTGACAATATCCACCAGGAAAGTCGCCATCGAGACGACGATGAAGAGAGCGTCAAAAATAGTGAAGGTGCTTCCCTGGTACACATCCGCATCTTGTTCCACGTCTTTGTCTTGTTTTCTTCCAGCAAGCCGCGATTTTTTGTTGAAGAAGGAGGGTAAGACGAAGGAGATCTCGTCCTTCAACGAAGCCATTTTGAATTTGAGCGGGCGTTTAATCTGGGATAAACATAGCGCGTGATTGGCCTAATACGAATGGATGATGTCGTCATCACCATACATCATAATATTCCCCATTTCCGTGATATTGCAGATATATCATCAAAAAGAAATGCTTATATTTTAAACCATATGAATGATGTAGCATTGTGTACATAGATGTAGTCAATTTTAAAATCGGAATTTAAAAAACCGTCACGCGCTTCCAAATAACGAGTCTTTGTTTACTGCTATAATCATGGTGAGCTAATGTCATATGATCCAAGATGGCGGTTGTCATCCCACATTCGGTTCTGGCTGCGGGATGGATTCCCTTCGTCGTGATCATTGTGGTGAGTTTTCTCCCCACTAAAACGAGAAGATGTTACCTTCGTTAATACTCTATCAAGCGGCAGGATTGTCATGTCATTTCAGCGTTTGAAATAGTTAACA